ACGGGAAGCTCCGTCTTCGCCCTCTATCGAGGAAGCCACCTCCGATATTCAAATCGTTAATGGCAATGGCACTCGTCTGAAACTGCCTCCCCACTTTGCTCAGTATGTATATCTGCCAGGTATGCAGACATGAAACGCGGGTGTTGATGCATGACGGGGATTTGCAGGTCATCAGCGTTGCCAAAGGTCCACAAAAGGGGAGAAGTCAGCATGGAAGCATTTTTGGAATTGATGCGAGAGCTTCCCTCGAAGTTCAAGGAAGGATGGACTGTCGTGAAGGAATTCTTCAGTAATTTACTTGAGGACTTATTCCCGGAATTTGGTCCGCACAATTTCAAGGTGACAATAGGGGAGGATGGGGTGCCACGGGATTACAAGGCAAAGAACTGGTTTGGTCCTGATAAGAGTAGTTAGTATGGGGGATGCGTGGGGGATGCGTGCCCGTGGAGGGAGTTTCGATAGATCTTGTATAACGTATACTTGGCTAACGCGGTTCCGATTTGTCTGGTTGCTTGTGGGTGAGGTTCGACGATAACTGACATTGATGGCAAAAGACGCTCTCATCTCAATTACACTAGCAATATTGTTCTCAAATTTGCATTTTAGTCTGTTACATTCACCCAAAGCCGGATCACGGAGTCCCTCACCACTTTGCATACGGGAGGAATTTTCCGCTTTTAATTGATGAGCCCTTCTGTCAAAAAAGGGTGGGATTTGCAAAAGCGGGGACGACGTACTCAAAGGTCAACACTACCCTATCGCCTTTGGGATCTTCCTTTCGGTCAACGTGAACCTTGCAGTCGATAAGGCTCATTATCCCGTCACCGAACTTTTCGTGGATGATAGACTGATATCGGCGCGTTTGGTGAGGTTAGATCGCGTTCTCGAGTGTACTCTGGCGGCTGCTTTACCTTGATAGGATAACCGTAGACGAGAATGCCCTAAACCAGTGGTAAGCATTAGAGCTATAAGAGCAAAAATGAAGAAAGTTTCGTACCTCATAGAGTCGATACAGCACGGGGTCAGTTGGTGGCATCGGTCCCAAGTTTCCCCTGTTAATACCTCCTTGTCGAGAAAGCTCAGAAACCAACTGAGCCTCATCCGAGCCCAAATACTTCAGAATTCCTTGAGCGTCAGACTCGGTGGGTACAGCTTGGCCGTAGAAAACTGCAGCGACCCAAACTTCATCGCGGTTGATTGCCTTGGCAATGTCGCTGAACGAATAGCCTGTCACGGCAATAAGTACAAACTCCATAGAAAGACAAAGGGTTTCGATAGTACCACTCTTTGATTTGAGCTCAAAGAGAGCTTGATTCGCAGTTCCTAGGCTTCTGTAGGGTTCTTCCGACCCGATGAATTGACGAGGGTAGATTGACTACATAGCCAGAAAGAATAAGTATTGCACGGAATATAAAACAAGACGTTCCGTAGATATATACCGGGTCCATGACCTTGGTAGCAAGTAGGGCGTTATCGAGAGGCTTCGAATTGTTAGTCGAAGGGCTCGGGTGGTGACGCAATAGCGGACATATCGGAGATATCTTCGCTCCTTGACGGTCTACCACTTCTTACAACAACCCTTCTGCTGACGCACGGAACCTGATTTCAAATCACTTCTCGTGAGTTTTGATATGCAAAAAAAGATGCTCTCCCTCTGGGAGTCGAACCCAGCTCTCCACCGCGCGGCTCAAGGCATGACAGGGTGGTGTTCTACCGATATACCAAGAGAGACGATGTATACGCTCGGCCTTTTGAGATTCTCGTTGATCTATGCTACGAAGAGGCCATCATTACCCCCTTTCTGTTGGGTCATAGCATAGTGCCGAGTCCCGTAGCAGATTCAGATCACTCATATGCCGAAACGAGCCAATTGAGCACCTTTCCTGGGATCATTACTTCTATTGGCCAGGAGATATTGTGGTTTGAATCGTATATTCTGCCCATACAGAACCTAGAAACAGGTACAATGGTTCAAGGACATGTTCAAACCGAGGATGGCAAAGTCTCATCCGCCAATGTGAAGGTTCACAGCTCGGCACGTTGGAACTACCAGAAGAACCGGCGGTGGTGATACTGACGACCAACGCAGCATACAAAGGCTGTCCCGCGCCAGGCTCACAGTTGTACCAATTGGGACTACTGGAGGCATGTAAAACACGTCGTTGTTCTGAACTTGCAGAACGTTCTGAAGGGAACGTTGAGTCTGACTCGGACAGAGTCTAAACGTCGTCTAAACGCTAACACTGCATCGGAACCTTCCGGATTCTGCAGCGTTGACGCGCACTATCTACATATGCGTCGGGAGAAGCGTCCCCTGACCTGACTCAAGCATTGCTACATCGTGTGCAGGAGAGTCGTTACACCCAGGCGTTAAGGAGGCTGAATAGACCGAGCCTTGCAAAGCAATAAAGCACAGGTAAAATGTATTCTTAAGTGTATATAAAAACATTTTGTTGCAGGGATTCGCGGTGTTGGAGGGGCTGCGGCAAGGGAATATCCGAAGCGAACGCTGGGTCTAAGCACGGGTCGGAGTATAGGCCTTGTGCACATTTCGGACAAATGATGGACGTGGACATATGACAAAGGCGGCGGGTGCATATGTGACTCTGATAAAGGACGGAAAACCGGGATATTGGTCGTTCAAAGGTCGAACCATCATCCTCGGCTGGGTCCTATATGCCATCAAAGCACGAGCACTTCGCCTAAAAGCGCATAGAAAAAGGAAACGGAGTTATATCCACACGCGTTGAACCCGAAGTGGGGTACACAGCAAAACGCCTTGCGTCGATCGCAAAGAGTTCGCAAGAAACAATAGGTACCTCCAGCCTAGGCTTTTTAGTCACAATCCGGCACATGTGATCCAGTGTCACGGCCTCAGAGGCACAGCAAGAGTAAGGCCGAGAACTCTCGAACTTTCAGGGAGAGAACAAAATATTAGTGTTGATCATGACGGTGGGGCCT